CCAGTTCTTTTAGCGGGGCACCCTACCTAAAGCCAAATTGAGATATAATAATCATATTCCTAGAGAAATAATCAGAAATCGAATACCAATCAAATAATATGATATATAGGAGTAGTAACCATATTTACTATGCAAAATGCCCCAACCACATAGTGTAAATTTATATAGAATTCAAATTCCATATCATCATTAAACCTCAATAGTCAATATAATAGCCCAAGCAAAATTAAATAACTTCTTATATACCTTACTGTCATACTACAAATTAATTAAACATTTGAAATCTGTTAACCAGAGAATAAATTTCTAAACCTAATGCAAGTGAAATAATTTAGATGCAATAATGAATGCCTAATGTGAGTATCATCTGTCAATGTCCTTGTAAAAAAGTCTGTAAAAGAGATATGAGTAACTAATATAGAAGAAAAAACAGGAAGTTGTCGTCTGTTGAAAAATAAATAAAATATCTAGAATATAAATTAGAATATAAAATAACATTCAGTCAATGTGTCGTCAATAAACTGTACAATTATCAAATGTTAAAACTGGGTGATACAGTCACCAAAAATAAATACTAAGTATAATAAGTAAATAAATTAAATGTGGTCTATAAAACTACCACTAGGTATAATAGGTCAATAAATTAAAAGTGGTTTATATAACTACCACTGTGCGAACCCTTCCTCCAGTTAAAACATGTCAGTCATGTGCAAAATCAATCAAAATGGTAAGGTGGTAAAAAAAGGGAAAATCCTTTCGATACATCAATTATATATGCCTCAGATTTAAAAGAATTAGAAGATACTTAGTTATCGTCGACTATGATTGCAGTGTTAAATTTGTCATATGAATTGTCGACGGTATAATTAGGGTCTGTTGTTATAGATGAGAGTAGCTGTTTCTTATACGAATCACTTAAGCTTTTAACATCGGGCAGATTTCGTAGATCTGTTGGAACATTATTCCAACATTTTGCCCCCAAGTATTGAAAGTTTTTATGTGATGTTGATCTATTAACATATAGGTTGCAGCTTTCGCCGCTCCTACTACCTCCTGATATGTAACTAAATTTGTTCATAAAGTTTGTAGGACAATTGTCATGGATGATTCTAAACATATAATTTGACAGATGGAGTTGTCGTCTAAGATGGAGTGGTAACCATTTCATGTCTCTATAAACATTAAGGCTGCTCTCTGTTTGTGGAACGTTGAGAGCTATTTTGGCTACCTTTTTGTACAGAGTGTCAAGTTCAGCAAGTTTTGTCTTGCCAGCTCTACAATAGATCGTGTCTAAATAATCGAATTGTGGCAACATGAGTGCATTGGCAAACATTTTCCTATATTTAATGGGTAGCAGTGCTTTACTTCTATACATGGCACCAATTCTCTTCATGACCTTCTTAATAATATAATCTACATGGCTTTTGAAGTTTAATTTACTATCTAGAATGAGGCCAAGATATTTTGTCTCTTTGCACTCCTTGATTGTGAAAGTTACCTCATTACATTCAATGGTTAATTCATCATGTTGATCAACAGAATCAAACAATAGGAATTCAGTCTTCGTTTCATTGAGTGATAATTTATTTACACTGAGCCATTTAAAGATTGTCATAAGTTCTATTTTCATGTTTATAAATGTGCTTCTGCAGGTTTGATCAAAGAATAGTGCACCATCATCTGCAAATAGAAAGGGCTTAGATAGGTTACAGGCATAAATGATGTCATTTATGAAGATACTAAATAATATAGGCCCAATGATGCTTCCTAGTGGTACACCACTCAGAACTTCTAAAAATGAACTTAGTTTGCCATTGATCCTAGTGCATTGATATCTACAAGATAAGAAGTTCTTAAACCAGGTTAAAGCAATGCCACCAATTCCATAATATGCCAATTTTTGAAGCAATATTTCATGATTCACTGTGTCAAAGGCCTTCTTAAGATCAAGAAAGATGATTCCTGGTTTATAAGACTTAGATTTACTCATATATATTTCGTCCATCAGATCGTACATCAAATAAGTTGTGGAGTGATTTTTCCGAAAGCCATATTGATGCCGGATGAAAAGTTTGTTCTCTTCCATGTAATCAGTGAGTTGCTTGCCGACAAAGTATTCTATAAGTTTTCCTACAAGTGGAAGGATGGATATTGGCCTGTAATTATTAGGATCATCTTTCATTCCTGCCTTATGGATGGGAGTTACTCTAGCTTTTTTACAAAGGGTTGGTACAACACCTGTATTAAGGCTCAAATTGACAATATGGGTCAGTGGCTCAACTATGTGTGGTACAGCTTGCTTAAGTAAAAATAGAGGCACATCGTCATATGAGGCCTTGTCATTCTTGAGTGTTTCGACATACATTAGGATATCAGTTTCATTTATTTCTTGGAATCTATCAAATGAGATGTTAGAAGTTCTAGGAGGTAAAAAATCAGTAAAACTAACTCTTTCAATATTGGGGGCCTGATTTTGTAATCTTGATCCAACATTTGCAAAATGAAAGTTAAATAGCTCAGGATCATTCTCATTGATAGTTTGACCATTAGTTGTACCAGGGGTCATATTTGATGCCAGTTTGATAGTTTTCCATACCCCTTTAAGATCATTCTTGGCACTTTTAATTTGTAGATCATCGATTACATTAGCCTTTTTGCAGGTTTTAGCTAATTTATTTCTAATATTTCTCTGAATCTTGTAGCAATCCCAGGCACTTTATACACTTTATACATTTGCTACATATACAACCCTGGCGCGTGGGGACACGTTTTTGCTAGTAGTTGGCTACGTTATTTTACGGGTATCGAATCTCGCGACTTCAACGAAGTCCTGGGGACAAGTTTTCAATAATCGATAATATTTTCAGCCCCTATCGTTCTAAACATCGTTAGGGCTTTCCCAGAAACTAACTCTCATCATCCTAGGATAATCGTGTGTCGCACAGCACTTGTTTCAGTAACGATAGTAGTCGCCTTAACGACAGAATGACGTGTACGTTTCGGTCACCTGTGAAAAAAGTAAGTGAGATATCAAAAATCTGAGAAAAACCCGTTGGATAAAAGCCTTTTAGGTAGGTGCTAGTCAAGATTTCATCTCTTTAGACCTTAAGATGGCTTCTAACACCTCGTCAAAACTTTTTAAAAGTAAAATTCGCCCGCGACTTACAAAAAGCAACATAAACGTGTCCCCAAAAATTTTTGGGGACACGTTGAGTCGAGCGCTTGAGGAGCGCGCTTGTTTCCAGCTAGCCAAGTAGCTACAAACTTATATTATACTAACCACGGAAACTGAAATTGTGGATATTTCGGTTCTCGTTGTGGTAGGACTAGTTTGGTCATACATAACAATGGCACACAGTTAATTACTGTGAGATAATAAAAATAAACTACATTATATAATTAACTGTAATATAACGAGTAAAATGTAGTTATTACAAAGTGTATTGTACTTATCATGAAGGTAGCCGAGACATAAAGGCGGTGTTTTGATTTCCTTGGAAGGAATTCAATGTATCGGTAAATATGTAATATGTATGTGGTAAACAACACTTTCTTAAAAACTCTAGTTAACTGGGGGACCACATATGACATAATACACCCTGCGTGAGCCGTGAGTGTATACTGTGAAATAAGAGCGCTGTTTGTTTTCTCTGTGTGACAGAAGTGAACAAATGATCACGATCTTGTAATTAATTATAAACTCTCCGACGAAATTTTTATAAAACACGGAAACATTGTTTCTTGATTACCGTCAGCAGTTGTATACCAGTTGTATACCAGCAGTTGTATACATAGAGTCTTATACAATACACAACATTAAAAGAATAATCCCCTCCACATTGTTAAATTTTTAGCTAAAGTTTTGAGAATCTGCACTCATCAACTTTATATTTCCCCACGTCCCTAACACCCTTGTAACCCCGGGGACCAGCATGCCGATCGTAAGGTCTGACTTCTTTAGCTCTTCCGGATGGTTTCGATGAGTCCCATACTGATGGCTTTAGCTTCTCACACTGGTCGTCTCCAACTGTCACTTCGGAGTAAATTGTGGAGGTAGCTGTAGGACGGTATAGGTTCCTGGTCGTTTAAGAAATTCAAATATCAATTGATTAACATTAATTTAATAAGACAGTTAGACATTCTTAGTTTACAATGATTCATAGTGTCTGTAGTCTTTACCTGCATTAATTAATGAAGGTATTCAAAAGAAGTTGACCTGTTTTATAATAGGTTATTGTAATGTTACTTCACCAACCTAGCGACATTTGATGTACTTTTCAGGACCTGCAGAGTCTGAAGGGTGCTTAGTCCCTGTGATAGCACTGAGTACTGGGTGGGAGCAGGAGGTTAGTCGTCCGTTCTGTCACCTGGAACCTAAAATATTTTATAAATAAAAATGGACAGGATAAATTAATTATACTTCAGGATATCGAGAAATTGTCCTAGGATATAGTTCAAGTGGTATATTGTATACAAAAATGACTTTAACAAAAATTTGTGGACAAGTGTGTTTAAAATATTTATGAAGGAGCAAAGAATCAATGTTCCATTCAAGGTAGCCTGACCACTGTTTGATAAACTTGTTTTTGTGTGAGTTGCTTTGTGGTATCCGGTAAAATCGATCTCTGGAATTATAGAACCAGTCATTTTAATACAAGTTAATGGTTCGTAAACAGTCCAAGAGCATATTTTACAATTTATAAGAAGCAACTTATGATCAAGGTAGTAAAATTATCAAAAAACGTCCACTGAAACTCACTCACTAACACATTCATGTATGCACTCAAACATACTCACACACAAAAACTCCTATCTACAATCACACACGCAAAATTATTGGGTTATTGAGCTGTTTAAATTTGAATAATAAAATAACACAAAATTAGTTACTAAAAGCTAAAAACTAATATAGTTGCAGGGCACGCTCGTCGCTCATATAGTTAGAAAATCTTACCTCATCGCTTAGGAGGCTTAGTTGGTGTTATGTCATGTGTTGTCTAGTGTAGTAGACGCAGCATAGTAGTAGGTAAAGTTCAGGTCGGATAACTTCCTTCATTCAGTTGGCTCAGCTACCTGCAAAGTTTTACGATTTTTGAACTGAAAGATGCTGATAAATGAATGAAATTACAAATTGATGCTTATCTAATTTTATAATTCATCTGCTCACGAATCTAGGAAGTTTATAATAATATTTAACGGACCTGTTGAGCCGGTTAAATTATTGACATGAGAAAATAATTTTATAAAGGAGCGAAGGAACAGTTGAAAAAAAACTGTGCATCCTTTTTTGTCTTTTGATCGATCAAGTATTTACCTGGATGGCCTGCTCGTGCTGTTTCTCCACGTGCCTTTTCAGATGGTCAGCTGTGGATTGGTGATTATAAAAAACACTGACGGAGGGAAATGATTTAATTCCATAATATTGGTCAAAGATGATAATTGGTAATGCTCCTAAAAGTAGGCACAGACCTCGCTTAGATTTGTAGTTGCAAAACGGGCAGGCAATAGTCCGTTTCGGGTGAAATCTAAGCACATGTCGATTCCGTGCCTTTTTCGTCGGATACCCCTTGTGACAAATCTCACAATGGAACTCTTCGTTTCCGTGGTGACGTAGCAATTGTGCTGAAATAATGTGGCATTCTATGATTTTCGAAAATTATTCTACCAAGCAAAGAATTAAACATGTCAATAGTCGGGTGAACCTATTTCAATCGCTGTTATGTAATATATAACTAATAAAAATTAAGAATTATTTTAAGAGCCTATCACAGAGCATGAAAATTTCCCGCTTAAGAAGTTTTACTCATAAAACTTCATTGCACTACACTCCTACATTATTGGAGATTCTTCGTCAATAATGTTGAGTAATCAAGGCAATTTAACCACTTTGAAGTTTGAAAATCATAGATGTCTGAGAAGAATCCTGAAAATCAAATGGTTTTATCATGTATCTAATGCTGACGTACTTAAGCTGGCTAACATCGCCCCTGTTAATACTTTCGTACGAGCAGCTAGGCTCCAATGGTTTGGCCATGTGATGAATATGTCAGAAGAAAGAATACCCAACTATCTTCTGCACTGGATCCCAAAGCATGGTAAAAGGTCAAGAGGTAGACCTCGGAAAAACTGGTTGTCATGTGTCCGGGAGGATACAGCAATCTTCACAGGTGTCGATAACATCACGATAGAAGATGCAGAACAACAAGCAACAGACAGGGTTCACTGGAGAGGTCTAATACACAGGAGAAAAGAGTTACTATGTGGTGCAGGCCACTCGATCCAACGACTAGGAGGAGACCTTTTCAAGTACAAGTAGGTAAATAAGAAGTTTGAACTAAGTTTGAACTAAGTTTGAACTGTTAAATTCCTTAAATTAGTTTCAGTGGGCAACTGCGAGTGGTAGTTGCTATGACGACTGCAAACATGCTAATGATTTTCCACGTGCAATTAGGTTTATTTGTTAATCAGATTTGGCTCTTTACCATTATTTCCACAGTCGCTGTGACAACTTCAATCAATTATCAAGCCAACGATTTTGCACGTGCAATCATTTTCCAGTTAATTGCTCTTTGTAGTCATGAATATAGTCATAATTCGAATACAATTTTATAAAAACATAAATTGGACGATTTATACTGAAACTGGTCAAGGAAACACTTACTTCATTCAAGCTATCATAGGTAAGAAACAGCGATGAACAATCCTGGCACTTAATTGATTTTTCTCCAGGATGGATGGACCTGTAAAGCATAGCAAATATTAATCATTATACGATTATTTGAGCCGGAAATAAATTAATCCAGCGAATGTCACAACTTAAGATTCTGTAATTATAATAACTGTATAAATAACAACTGGTATCTAATTTATCTTATAACATGGTTACAATCTTAAGCTTTACAACTGTTCTGTTAACTTTGATTAATTTAAGTCTCAATAACAATCAGGCAAGCGTGCGCTGCAAGACAATAGACTAACCTGAGATGTTTATCTACCCATGCTTTTGTCGAAAACTCCTCGTTACAGATAAAACACCTAACCATGGCGACAAGATCAAAAGTAAAGATTCTTAAAATAGAAACAGATGTAACTGAAAAGCCCGCAGCGTGGCGTGGTGTTATTCTGGAAGCCAGCCAGCTGGATCCTGATTGGTCGCTGCAACCAATGACAGCTCGCAGCCAATGACAGCGCTCCGTTTCACAGCATACACTCACGCCGGCTGTATGTCGTTCCCCAGTTAACTAGAGTTTTTAAGAATGTGTTTTTTATCACACACATACTCACCGATACATTGAATTCCTTCCAAGGTAATCAAAACACCGCCTCTATGTCTCGGCTACCTTCATGATAAGTACAATACACTTTGTAATAACTACATTTTACTCGTTATATTACATTTACAGTTATAAAATGTAGTTTACTTTTATTATCTCACAGTAATTAACTGTGTGCCATTGTTATGTATGACCAAACTAGTCCTATCACAACGAGAACCGAAATATCCACAATTTCAGTTTCCGTGGTTAGTATAATATAAGTTTGTAGCTACTTGGCTAGCTGGAAACAAGCGCGCTCCTCAAGCGCTCGACTCAACGTGTCCCCAAAAATTTTTGGGGACACGTTTATGTTGCTTTTTGTAAGTCGCGGGCGAATTTTACTTTTAAAAAGTTTTGACGAGGTGTTAGAAGCCATCTTAAGGCCTAAAGAGATGAAATCTTGACTAGCACCTACCTAAAAGGCTTTTATCCAACGGGTTTTTCTCAGATTTTTGATATCTCACTTACTTTTTTCACAGGTGACCGAAACGTACACGTCATTCTGTCGTTAAGGCGACTACTATCGTTACTGAAACAAGTGCTGTGCGACACACGATTATCCTAGGATGATGAGAGTTAGTTTCTGGGAAAGCCCTAACGATGTTTAGAACGATAGGGGCTGAAAATATTATCGATTATTGAAAACTTGTCCCCAGGACTTCGTTGAAGTCGCGAGATTCGATACCCGTAAAATAACGTAGCCAACTACTAGCAAAAACGTGTCCCCACGCGCCAGGGTTGATATACCACATTTATTGCAATTTCCATCGTCTCTCTTATCCTTCTTTTTACGGAATTTCTTTAGAAGAAAATGTGTATGATTAATGGCATTTAAAAGTTCAGTAGAAGGTTTATGTATGAACTTTTCATGCCTTTCTATGGTCTTGCAAGGGAAGAAGGTTGCATATGCCTGTTCAATATGATGACAAAGGCCAGCAGTGATAGCTTCAACATCTGTACTTTCCAATAGTAGACTGTAATCAGAACAGGTATCTAGATAGTCTAAGAATTGTTTAACATTACGTTTACAATGATTTCTAATTTCAACCTTTTCAAATTTAGGAGCTATAGGTACTTTACAATCTATCTCACACATAATAGCTTGATGATCCCCAATACGTTCATCAAGAACAGAAGATTGAACAAAATCTGCATAACAGTTAGTGAATATTACATCAATAGTAGTCTGGGTAAAATTGTCTCCACGTTTAGCAACTCTAGTTATCCCTTGAATGGTTTGAACTAGATTGTAACATCTCAAGGTCATATCTAATTTTTTGTACTGGGTGGATGAGATATTATTCTGGTCAATGTTTATATCCCCAATCCAGATAACCTTTTTCCCGTTCAATTTTTTCATGCAAAAATGAATGTACTCAATAAAGTTATCAACACTGCAATAATTTCCAGAGGGATAGAAGCAGCAAACATTGATCTTGCTATTCTTAAGCTTCACCCATAATGCTTCAATGTTATCAAGCTTACTATCCATAACTAATTCTGTGTAAGCTAGTTTTTTGTTTATCATTAAGCCACAACCACCCCTAGAACTGTTTGGCCTGTCGCATCGCATAATGTTGAAGGAGGAAGGAATATTTTTGGTGTCTGTGTCAATAGTATCATTAAGATTCATCTCATTTAGGGAAAGTATGTCTAGCTTATGATCTCGAATGAGTTGAGTAAGTTCATTACTTTTAGCTAAATTTAGGAGACCACCTTGAATGTTACAGTGACCAATGCAAAGGTTATGAAATTTGTCAGCTGAGTTGTGAATATTTGTCATTTCACAAAACGTGTTAGTCGTTGTGTCTGATTAAACTAAATTCAGGTGAAAATTATCCGCCTGTAAATATTTTCAATAGAAAAGTTTTAAACTTGAAATCAAAATAAATATTCAGGTGGAAAAGTCATGTCGATTTCAATGGTGGGCATGGTACTTGATGTGCTTTGCTAGTTTAAAGATACCATCGCTGTTTAGATGCACATTGTCTTCCCCAAATCTACTAAAACAAGATGATTTCCTAAATCCAGATCTATCACTAAACAAAAATCGATTCATCTCTGTGGGTATAAAGCTAACAAACGAGTATTTGGAAGGAATCTTAGATAAAAAGATATTGATGTCATTTATCACTTTATTTCTAGCAAAACTTTCTCTTGGTAAAATGTTTATGATCTTAATTTTTGCAGCTGGAGCCCACGAGTGAAGTGACTGGATCAGATTATCAATAGAGCGATTGATTATCATTTTGGTACATAAGTCGACACACAGTATGAAACAACAATTACCTTTGGGCGATTTAGGCATTGAGCCTATATCAAAGGAAATCATCTCGTGGGGTTTAGGGATATCAGTGATAATCATTTTAGTCTACTCTTGGCTTGAATACAGGTTCTACAGTCTTTGGTGAAAGCATCTACCTGTTTAGATAAACTTCTCCACCAAAACCTAGCCCTGATTTGGGTTGCGGTTATCTCTGGCCTGGGGTGGCTTTTGCAGTGGTACTCATGAATTGTTTTATCTTGAAGGCTTGGTGGCACTACAATACGTCTTCTCTTATACAACAGCCCTGAGCTGTCAACACTTAGATATTTAGTGTTTTTATAAGGTCCTCTAGAGATAACCTTGTTGTTCTGTATTCTAGATGTAGTCCACTTAATCCAGGCATCGTTGTCTTGGGCATTTTTCAATGAGCTGTCATTCTCTCCACCTTTACTCAACTCAGCATAAATGTGACTTTCTGCTTCTGCATCGCTTCTTTCCGTTTTAATGTCAGTCTTTACCACAATTCTGCTCAGACTGTCAGCTACTCCATTCAATTCTCCAGGGATGTATCTAACTTCATACAGCCTCGAGTTCATTTAACCATCTCATTATCTTGTCTTTTAATCAAATCATTATCCCAACCCTCTCACATGGATCAGTACAAAGAACAGCTCTACTTCTTATCACAGGAACCATCTCCCCCTCACCGACATGTTACTTAGAGGTCCTCACCCAACTCCCCCTCTTGACCTCAGGATTCACTCCATTTCTCTCATAACTTTCCTCAGGCTTAACATCACTTCGTCCGCCTAAAACGGACTTAGAGACGGAAAGCTCACATCTCACTCTATCCTTCTCTCCGACCATCTCAAGAAGATACTTCCACCTCTTTTTCTTCTTTTAGATATTCAACACTTTTAGACATGTAACACCAGCCTCACCCAACCTGTCACAATCATTCAAAACG